CAACCCCTTTAGGTCTCCTCACTGCTGGGGGTTTCATTTTGTCATGGGGTGGATGGCAGATTAGGGCCTCCCATTGCTGGGGCCAGGCCTATCTGCCATGGGCCCTGTACTGCTCTACCTCATGCTGCATGCCAGGTCCAGAGTGATGTCATGGGTACTTGTACGGCCTCCCATTGCTGCTTGTTCTTCCATCGCCACACTTGCCATGTGCCACTTTAGGTCTCCTCACATGCTGGTGGGTTCATTTGGTCATAGCGGTGCTGGCTGAGAACGGCCTCCATTGCTGGTGCAAGGACCGTCGTAATCCGTTTACGTAATCTGCCATGGGCCCCCCCCTCGTATTTCGTACCGACACCTCTGCTCGCTCTGCCAGGTCCAGAGTGTTATGGGTCCGTACGGCCTCCCATTGCTGCTTGTCTCCATCGACACACTCTGCCTATGTGCCACTTTCCCACGGTCTCACTCTTAATGCTGGGGGTTATCTGGTGTAATAGGGTTATCCACTTTTTAGATCTACTAGGCCTGGCATTGCTGCTGCCAGGCCTGTAATCTACCATGCGCACCTCCAGTAAACCGCACTCCTCATTACATAGCTGGAACTAGGTCTTTAGGACGTGTCTAATGGGTCACTCGCTACGGCATCCCATTGCTAGGCCTGATCTCAAGGCTGCCACACTGATGACCCAAGATCAGCCTACTTTCACGTCTCGTCACATTATGGCTGAGCTATCCTCATTTTGTCATAGGATCCATGGACAGATTACAGGAATCTCATTTGCATGATCGCATGTGGCACGTTCTGCAGATGCATTCGGGCCCCTGTATCGCCTCCACATGCTGCTTCGTGTGAGTCTACCATCAGGGTTTATCAAGACCATAGATGGTGTGTCATGGGGGTCCCCTGTCTAACGGCCTCCTCCATTAGCTGCTGTCTCCAACGCCACAAGGTTCTGCGTCCATGTGCCACAATTCAGGGTCTCCTCCACACACTGCTGGTTTGGGTGTTCCATTTTTTGTCCAGTAGGGTGGGTGGCAGATTACGGGACCTCCCATAGCCTCTCCTCATCAGGCCCTAATTTTTGGTCCGATTAGCCATAGGGATCCTGTACCTGTCTCCCCTCATGCTTGACTCGGGGGGCCTAGGGAGGCTAACGGACCCGTAGAGTCCGGATTGCTCGGGGGGATGCCTCATCGCCACACTGGCTGCCATGTGCCACTTTCAGGTCATGCTTGCAGCTCACACTGAAGCTGGTTGTTTTCCAATTTTTTCATAGGGGGTGCTGTGGCAGATTACGGAAGCCTCCCATTTTGCTGCTAAAGCCAGGCCCGTAATCTTGTGCCATGGGCCCCGTACCCGCCTATGAATGCTGCTGCCTCAAGGACTTTCGTAGGTTCTCATGAGGGTCCCCTGTACGGCCTCCCAATGTCTTGGCTGACTCCATCCACACACATTTGCTTCTGCCATGTGCCACTTCAGTCTCCTCACACTGCTATGGAGTGGTTTCCATTTTTTCAAGGGTGCTGGCAGATTACGGGCCTCCCATTGCTGCTGCCAGGCCCGTAATTCTGCCATGGGCCCCCGTACCGCCTCCTCATGCTGCTGCCAGGTCCAGGGGTAGTCTCATGGGTCCCTGTAACTCCGGCCTCCATTGCTGCTGTCTCCATCGCCACACTCTGCCATGTGTCCATGTGCCACTTTCAGGTCTCCTCACACTGCTGGTGGGTTCCATTTTGTCATAGGGGTGCTGGCAGATGCTGCCAGGTCCAGTAAGTGTCTCATGGGTCCCTGTACGGCCTCCCATTGCTGCTGTCTCCATCGCCACACTCTGCCATGTGCCACTTTCAGGTCTCCTCACACTGCTGGTGGGTTCCATTTTTTGTCATAGGTGCTGGCAGATTACGGGCCCTCCCATTGCTGCTGCCAGGCCCGTAATCTGCCATGGGCCCCTGTACCGCCTCCTCATGCTGCTGCCAGGCCCAGAATCTGTCATGGGTCCCTGTACGGCCTCCCATTGCTGCTGTCTCCATCGCCACACTCTGCCATGTGCCACTTTCAGGTCTCCTCACACTGCTGGTGTGGTTCCATTTTGTCATAGGGTGTCTGGCAGATTACGGGCCTCTCCCATTGCTGCTGCCAGGCCCGTAATCTGCCATGGGCCCCTGTACCGCCTCCTCATGCTGCTGCCAGGTCCAGAGTCTCTCATGGGTCCCTGTACGGCCTCCCATTGCTGCTGTCTCCATCGCCACACTCTGCCATGTGCCACTTTCAGGTCTCCTCACACTGCTGGTGGGTTCCATTTTGTCATAGGGTGCTGGCAGATTACGGGCCCTCCCATTGCTGCTGCCAGGCCCGTAATCTGCCATGGGCCCCTGTACCGCCTCCTCATGCTGCTGCCAGGTCCAGAGTGTCTCATGGGTCCCTGTACGGCCTCCCATTGCTGCTGTCTCCAATCGCACACACTCTGCCATGTGCCACTTTCAGGTCTCCTCACACTGCTGGTGGTTCCATTTTGTCATAGGGTGCTGGCAGATTACGGGCCTCCCATTGCTGCTGCCAGGCCCGTAATCTGCCATGGGCCCCTGTACCGCCCTCCTCATGCTGCTGCCAGGTCCAGAGTGTCTCATGGGTCCCTGTACGGCCTCCCATTGCTGCTGTCTCCATCGCCACACTCACTCTGCCATGTGCCACTTTCAGGTCTCCTCACACTGCTGGTGTGTTCCATTTTTTGTCATAGGGTGCTGGCAGATTACGGGCCCTCCCATTGCTGCTGCCAGGCCCGTAATCTGCCATGGGCCCCTGTACCGCCTCCTCATGCTGCTGCCAGGTCCAGAGTGTCTCATGGGTCCCTGTACGGCCTCCCATTGCTGCTGTCTCCATCGCCACACTCTGCCATGTGCCACTTTCAGGTCTCCTCACACTGCTGGTGTGTTCCATTTTGTCATAGGGTGCTGGCAGATTACGGGCCTCCCATTGCTGCTGCCAGGCCCGTAATCTGCCATGGGCCCCTGTACCGCCTCCTCATGCTGCTGCTGCCAGGTCCAGAGTGTCTCATGGGTCCCTGTACGGCCTCCCATTGCTGCTGTCTCCATCGCCACACTCTGCCATGTGCCACTTTCAGGTCTCCTCACACTGCTGGTGGGTTCCATTTTGTCATAGGGTCTGGCAGATTACGGGCCTCCCATTGCTGCTGCCAGGCCCGTAATCTGCCATGGGCCCCTGTACCGCCTCCTCATGCTGCTGCCAGGTCCAGAGTGTCTCATGGGTCCCTGTACGGCCTCCCATTGCTGCTGTCTCCATCGCCACACTCTGCCATGTGCCACTTTCAGGTCTCCTCACACTGCTGGTGTGTTCCATTTTGTCATAGGGTGCTGGCAGATTACGGGCCTCCCATTGCTGCTGCCAGGCCCGTAATCTGCCATGGGCCCCTGTACCCCTCCTGCCTCCTCATGCTGCTGCCAGGTCCAGAGTGTCTCATGGGTCCCTGTACGGCCTCCCATTGCTGCTGTCTCCATCGCCACACTCTGCCATGTGCCACTTTCAGGTCTCCTCACACTGCTGGTGGGTTCCATTTTGTCATAGGGTGCTGGCAGATTACGGGCCTCCCATTGCTGCTGCCAGGCCCGTAATCTGCCATGGGCCCCTGTACACCGCCTCCTCATGCTGCTGCTGCCAGGTCCAGAGTGTCTCATGGGTCCCTGTACGGCCTCCCATTGCTGCTGTCTCCATCGCCACACTCTGCCATGTGCCACTTTCAGGTCTCCTCACACTGCTGGTGGTTCCATTTTGTCATAGGGTGCTGGCAGATTACGGGCCTCCCATTGCTGCTGCCAGGCCCGTAATCTGCCATGGGCCCCCTGTACCGCCTCCTCATGCTGCTGCCAGGTCCAATCTCTCATGGGTCCCTGTACGGCCTCCCATTGCTGCTGTCTCCATCGCCACACTCTGCCATGTGCCACTTTCAGGTCTCCTCACACTGCTGGTGGTTCCATTTTGTCATAGGGTGCTGGCAGATTACGGGCCTCCCATTGCTGCTGCCAGGCCCGTAATCTGCCATGGGCCCCCGTACCCCGCCTCCTCATGCTGCTGCCAGGTCCAGAGTGTCTCATGGGTCCCTGTACGGCCTCCCATTGCTGCTGTCTCCATCGCCACACTCTGCCATGTGCCACTTTCAGGTCTCCTCACACTGCTGGGGTTCCATTTTGTCATAGGGTGCTGGCAGATTACGGGCCTCCCATTGCTGCTGCCAGGCCCGTAATCTGCCATGGGCCCCCTGTACCCGCCTCCTCATGCTGCTGCCAGGTCCAAGTCTCTCATGGGTCCCTGTACGGCCTCCCATTGCTGCTGTCTCCATCGCCACACTCTGCCATGTGCCACTTTCAGGTCTCCTCACACTGCTGGTGGGTTCCATTTTGTCATAGGGTGCTGGCAGATTACGGGCCTCCCATTGCTGCTGCCAGGCCCGTAATCTGCCATGGGCCCCTGTACCCCACCCCCGCCTCCTCATGCTGCTGCCAGGTCCAGAGTCTCTCATGGGTCCCTGTACGGCCTCCCCATTGCTGCTGTCTCCATCGCCACACTCTGCCATGTGCCACTTTCAGGTCTCCTCACACTGCTGGTGGGTTCCATTTTGTCATAGGGTGCTGGCAGATTACGGGCCTCCCATTGCTGCTGCCAGGCCCGTAATCTGCCATGGCCCCCGTACCGCCTCCTCATGCTGCTGCCAGGTCCAGAGTGTCTCATGGGTCCCTGTACGGCCTCCCATTGCTGCTGTCTCCATCGCCACACTCTGCCATGTGCCACTTTCAGGTCTCCTCACACTGCTGGTGGGTTCCATTTTGTCATAGGGTCTGGCAGATTACGGGCCTCCCATTGCTGCTGCCAGGCCCGTAATCTGCCATGGGCCCCCGTACCCCGCCGCCTCCTCATGCTGCTGCCAGGTCCAGAGTGTCTCATGGGTCCCTGTACGGCCTCCCATTGCTGCTGTCTCCATCGCCACACTGTGCCATGTGCCACTTTCAGGTCTCCTCACACTGCTGGTGTGGTTCCATTTTGTCATAGGGTGTGGCATGGAGATTACGGGCCTCCCATTGCTGCTGCCAGGCCCGTAATCTGCCATGGGCCCCCGTACCGCCTCCTCATGCTGCTGCCAGGTCCCGTAATCTGTCATGGGTCCCTGTACGGCCTCCCATTGCTGCTGTCTCCATCGCCACACTCTGCCATGTGCCACTTTCAGGTCTCCTCCTCACACTGCTGGTGGGTTCCATTTTGTCATAGGGTGCTGGCAGATTACGGGCCTCCCATTGCTGCTGCTTGCCAGGCCCGAAATCTGCCATGGGCCCCTGTACCACCGCCTCCTCATGCTGCTGCCAGGTCCAGAGTGTCTCATGGGTCCCTGTACGGCCTCCCATTGCTGCTGTCTCCATCGCCACACTGTGCCATGTGCCACTTTCAGGTCTCCTCACACTGCTGGTGGGTTCCATTTTGTCATAGGGTGCTGGCAGATTACGGGCCTCCCATTGCTGCTGCCAGGCCCGTAATCTGCCATGGGCCCCCGTACCGCCTCCTCATGCTGCTGCCAGGTCCAGAGTGTCCCTCATGGGTCCCTGTACGGCCTCCCATTGCTGCTGTCTCCATCGCCACACTGTGCCATGTGCCACTTTCAGGTCTGCGCTCACACTGCTGGTGGGTTCCATTTTGTCATAGGGTGTGCTGGCAGAATTACGGGCCTCCCATTGCTGCTGCCAGGCCCTAATCTGCCATGGGCCCCCGTACCAACTCCTCAGGCTGTGCCAGCCCGTATCTGTCATGGGCCCCTTGGTGTTACCGACTCTCCTCATGCTTGCTGCCAGGTCCCAGAGTCTGTCATGGGCATGTGCCACTTTAGGGCTCCTCACATGCGTTGGTTAAATTTTTTTCATAGGGTGTGCCCCAAAAACGGGCCCCCCATGCTGCTGCCAGGCCCCCAATTGCCATGGCCCCCTTTTTACCCCCTCCCCCTCTGTGCCAGGCCGATCTTCTGGGTCCCTGTAGGCTCCCCTTGCTGTGTTCCATCGCCCACTTGCCATGTGCCCCTTTAGGTCTCCCCCCACTGTGGTGGTTTAATTTTTTTCATAGGGTGTGCAAAATTCGGGGCCCCCTTGCTGCGCCAGGCCCATCTGCCATGGGGCCCCCAAACGCCTCTCATGCTGCTGCAGGTCCAGATTCTCATGGGGCCCTGACGGGGCCCCCCCATTCTGCTGTCTCCCTCGCCACACGTGCCCTGTGCCATTTCAGGTTTCCTCACATTGTTTTGGGTTGGTTTTTTTGCATAGGGTGCTCCAGATAAAAGGGCCTCCTTGCTGCTGAGGGCCCCCCATCTGCCATGGGCCCCCCAAAACCGCCTCCTTTATCTGTGAGGGCCAGAGTTTCATGGGTCCCGTACGGCCCCCATTGCTCTGCTTCCCCAATTGCC